GATAGCTGTGGAGCGTAAGTTACTATGGTGGTGATGAACACCGATTAAAGCCGAGCTACTTTCATGGTACCTGAAACCCAGTGTTGGCGCAAACTAAACAGAATTTACCTGGCTAGCCAGCTAAACCGGCTTCATGGTATTGCACAATATTGTGTGCAATCTGCCACTCCTAATGTCTAATGTTATCTTTCCTAAACATGTGCCGGTTAACTCTAACCCTATAACCATTAATCCAGATCTTGATAATCCAGTGCTCCAGGCTGGCTTTCTGATAAACACTTGAGCTTTTGGCTTTTCTTTAGTGTTATTCTCAATGGGACTAGAGATTTGCCATTACAAGACTTACCCAAATTGGTCAGATCCTATTATAAGTTAGCTTGAGGCTGCTCATGTTTGAATGAGAGAAGTGTCACGGGCCAAACTTAAACCCAGCTCACTGAGGAAAAACATGGTGTGTTCAAAGGTAATATGGTCATTTATGAAGAAAATACCTTGAATTAAACATAAGAGGGATGTTAGAAACTCTTCAGTTCATGAACCTCCACCAGCATTTGTGCTGTTGAAAAACCCTCATATAGCTGAGAATCAGAGGATTTTATCAGAAAGGGGCACATAAAAATTAAAATTCCAGAGACAAAGACAACTTTCACGCTTTATAATAACTTAGACTATATTGTGTAGTAATAGAAGGAACTAATAATGTGTATTTATGTTTATGCAAGTATCAAAGACAAATTTACATCTATAGCAAACTTATTGGTCAAAATAATGTAAACCACTGCACATGTTCAGGATCAAAATCTTTTTGCCACATATTTATACACTACCAATGTTGAATGTTTTATTTCAGCAAAGTTGCATTAAAATGATCAAAAGTGACAGCAAAGAAATCTTTAATATTACAATTTATTTCTATTTCAAATAAATGCGTTTTTATATATATACATATATACAGTGGGTACGGAAAGTATTCAGACCCCCTTAAATTTTTCACTCTTTGTTATATTGCAGCCATTTGCTAAAATCATTTAAGTTAATTTTTTTTCCTCATTAATGTACACACAGCACCCCATATTGACAGAAAAACACAGAATTGTTGACATTTTTGTCAACAATTTTGATTTATTCAAAAAGAAAAACTGAAATATCACATGGTCCTAAGTATTCAGACCCTTTGCTGTGACACTCATATATTTAACTCAGGTGCTGTCCATTTCTTCTGATCATCCTTGAGATGGTTCTACACCTTCATTTGAGTCCAGCTGTGTTTGATTATACTGATTGGACTTGATTAGGAAAGCCACACACCTGTCTATATAAGACCTTACAGCTCACAGTGCATGTCAGAGCAAATGAGAATCATGAGGTCAAAGGAACTGCCTGAAGAGCTCAGAGACAGAATTGTGGCAAGGCACAGATCTGGCCAAGGTTACAAAAAAATTTCTGCTGCACTTAAGGTTCCTAAGAGCACAGTGGCCTCCATAATCCTTAAATGGAAGACGTTTGGGACGACCAGAACCCTTCCTAGAGCTGGCCGTCCGGCCAAACTGAGCTATCGGGGGAGAAGAACCTTGGTGAGAGAGGTAAAGAAGAACACAAAGATCACTGTGGCTGAGCTCCAAAGATGCAGTCGGGAGATGGGAGAAAATTGTAGAAAGTCAACCATCACTGCAGCCCCCCACCAGTCGGGGCTTTAGGGCAGAGTGGCCCGACGGAAGCCTCTACTCAGTGCAAGACACATGAAAGCCCACAT